ATATGGAATACTCTTCAGTTCCTTAAAAGCTGCTTCCAGTGGGAGTCCACCCTAAGAAGTTCAGTATCATTTGTGGTAAGATTTCCTTTCCACGTTCAAGTCATTGGTTGCTTCTTTGGATCCTTTCTTCTTTCTAAAATGTATTATGGCCCAGGCGTTATGTGGGCTTTGTCTTTCTTATCAGATTTACCCACAAAAATCTTTTCCTTTACCCACATCCTTCTCGTACATCATTTCTTGGTGAGCTTAAAAGAGCTAATGCTCTACATTTTTGAATGTCCCTATAGCTATTATCTAACCAAATTCTAGTCTATCCAATGACTAGAAATTTTTCTCTTCTTCAGTGCCCTGGATGCCACGAATTTTTGAAAAATGACAGCTAAAAAATATCCCATGACTAAATTATAACTATGGAAGAAGGATTTTTTTTTTTGCTCCAAATGCCTTCAGGGGTGCTTTGGCTGCCTGGAGTGTTGTGGGGATCGAACTACAGCAACCTGAGGCTGACAGCTTTGTGGAAGCAGCCACTTAAAGAACTGAGCTAGGGCCAGGCCCCTAAATTATAACTAAATGACTACAATTTAGATGTTTAAGTAAATTGTTCACAAACTTTGATATTGAAAAATGTATTCATATTGAACCACTTGGGTCATAATTGATCGCTCCTCATAATTTGACTCGGTGCCACATGGAGAAACACTCCTGTGATTGAAATGCACTCTTTTCTCTGATAAGCATAATCAAATAATAGAATCAAAGAGCTGCAAGAGATTTCAAGGCCTCCCGTGCAAGGGTAAGAATCTTGGAGGGACTTCTGAGTTGGCAAAGAGCCTTCACTTCACAACTTTGGTCAGTCAGTCTTGCTCAGGAACAAGGCGACACATCCTTGTTTATGTCAGACGTGGGAGGAAACACCGGGTCTCCAAATGGTCTATCCCAGACACATTACCATTCATTTCTTTGCTGTGTAGACGTTACTGCAGAGTTCATATAGTGAGTGAGTGGCCTCAAAGTGAATACGGGTCATGGTCCGAGTTAAGTCTGATTTCTGTCCTTTATGTGATTCTTTTGTCTTCTGCTGTCAGTGTAGCCTCGGTGTTCTGTCCAACTCCATGGATTCAGACTTGCACAAAACATATGAACTTAAGATGTCAATGGGTGCTGGGGAGATAGCTCAGTAGAATAAGCGCTTGCCTGGCAAGTGCAAGGGCCTGAGTTCAATCCCTAGTTCCACTAAAAAAACAACAACAAAAAAAAAGGTGTCAATAGATTCAGGATCCTTTTATTCCTTTTTATATAATCATTTTCATAACTGGCTTTTTCTGTGCTACTGAAGGAACACTCTGTTGGCCTATTTTATGTTTCCATAACTTCAGGGCACAAAGACCTATGCTGCCTGCAGATTTTGCCCTGAATGTACCTTCTCTTCTGTCTGTATTTGATAAAAACACTGATGACAAGGGCTTTGTTCATCCATATCCTCCATCTTGTGGCTTATTTATCCACGCCTGTTTCTCATGTCCTCCTCAGCTGGGGCTCCACATGTTGGGTTCCTCTCCAACCTTCCCACCTGAATTCCCTTTCAAAACTTTCCATGGAATGTTCTGTGCAATTCTGGCCAAAAGAGGAAAATGAACACAATTGGTGGCTTCTTCCAGTCAGTGCTCTCGCCAGTGTGTGTGAGAGTGGAGAATTTCCTCTTGCTCCAGTTTAGTTTTTGGCACTGTGATTTTAGAAAAACAGAAATCTGTTGCTCTGGATTCTGCAGGGGGATGACAAGAATGATTAATGGGCTACAGGCCTGATCAGAAGAAAGATTAGAATAAATGAAGTGAAACAGGTTTTTCAGGAGAGGGGACTTCTAGACAGGAAGTGGCCTTGGTGGGGGGCCACTTCGCCACTGCCTCTTCCCTGAGTAGCCCTCCCTGCTGGCACCACTTAAGGCTAAGCGCTCTGGCAAACACAGGCAGAAGCATCTCACCCCCAGATGCCTGAGTCCCACAGAAAAGAGGATGAAAGGGCCTGGTTTTGCAAAGCTTGCTTTGTCAGATGCCTGAGTTTAGGAGGCTGTCAGTGGCCCTATTTTCTGTGGGTATAGGGGATTTTTTTCTCCCTGGATGTCATTGAACAATGCAGAATCAATTAGAAATGTTATTCAATCAACCCTTTATAGTATTCACAGATCAAATCAACCACTGATTGAAAATATGTTTTAAAATTGTGTTTGCTGGGCATGCCTGTAATCCCAGCACTTTTCGAATCTGAAGCAGGAGGATCATAAGTCTACATCTTACCACCTGGGCAATTTACTGTATCCCTGTCTCAAATATAGATCTAGACACAGACACATATAAGGTGTTGAATTTGTTGTCCTGAAAATACTGGAATGAAATATGCTCACTTAAACATATTTTAGTTTTAATTGGAAACTTTGTGTTCAAAAGATTACACTACATTTATAACACCCAGCTATGGTGGATTTCAGACAGAGTGAGGTAGACAATGAGGTGTGGTTTCATTAAACTGCTTTTTGTTACCAAGGACTATCATAATGATATTTAAAATCCATTTGTGGGATTTAAAGAGTATAAAGAAAGAGCTTTTGTAGAACTCTGTGTTTATGCGCTTGATTACTTTCTTCTATTTTTACTTATTTATTTGAAAAAATAACACTTTGGGGAGTCTACCTTGCATTCAGTGGGGCAGCATTTGTCTTTCTGAATGGCTACTCACAATGGGGCACATACCTGGGCTGCCTCTCATGATAGGGTACAACTGTGGGTGTCCATTGTGGATGTCCTTCTGTACTGTGTTGTACCCTCAGACAATCTGGGCTAGAAAGCGGAATAGAGGCTGTGAAGATGCAGCCCTGTCTCGTCTCTGCCTGCTCACTGGGTCAACGCGCTGTCTGCCAAGCTGGTGTACTCTCACTGATGTCCTCCTGTCACCTTCTCAGAACAGAATGCTGCGCCTGGACTTTCTTCATTGATGTAAAGCTTTCTTCATGTTCTACCTCTTTGCCTGGACATGCTAGGGCAGAACAATTTTGTACTAGTCCTAAGTCTGTTTTCTTAAAGCCAAAGACTGATTAAATGACCATGCTGTGCTGGCAGACTTTCTCCTCTGCTGGAAATTAGGATAAGTGATGGTTGTGGGATTCCCCTGCCAGGGTGAAAAGGTCCCTTATGGCTGAGCTGTCCCTGTGGGGCTCCTGGAGGTACTGGAGTTGATGCTGCACCCCCACACAGACAGCAGAACCAAAGGGGATTTTTACCTTGTTTGGTGAGAAAACATAAAATAGTCAATTAACCTTCTGTTGTAGTCTTATTTCCAGGTGATACAAACCATGTACATTCTACAGTGTTTAGTTCATTCTGGCCATTAATTTTAAGGCATTAGGAAAGCAAGCCACACATTTTCAGAGAACTTCTGTGGATGTGCACACGCATAGCTCACATCTTGTGGAAAGATGCTCTTATGGGAAGGCAACAGGATCTAGGTCCGTGTAGATCCAGAAGGAAGTGGTGGGAAGATTCTTCAGCATGAGGTGCTTAGATTGCTCTAGCATAAATCCACGCTCCCTTCACATTTTCTCCCCAACTCTTATTAGTATGGCTGCATTGCCAACAGCAAGAGAGAAGAGGAATTTGGCATTCGTTACTGACTCCCACTGCACTACTGTTGCTGCATTTTGTTGAATGCATGTTTATTGCAAGAATTCGAGGCTTTGGGTGGTCAGAACATTGCAAATCATGTTCCCATAGGCTCAATTATTTTTGCAGTGACGAACACTTTAAAAATCTTTCTAACTCTGTCTTTAGAGTCTTTCTCCTTCTTTTACATTTTCTACATATTTTGGTGTACTGCCTTGCTAGGTGCCATTTAATTATTTGTGCTAAATTATGTATATCTGTTTTTCTCTTCAAAAATTGCATTCTTGATTTTTCAGATGAAAGACAAATGTGTATGCCAATTTTATTGATAGAGATCAATGTAACGAAAATATCTTGCTTAGAAGTAAGAGTATCTATGTATTTATTAAGAATAGATTTACAAACCGATGTGACATTTTATGCTGTATTGTATGGCTATCCCCACACAGACTTTGAATTCTAATGGTACTAATAGTTCGTGCAACTTCACTGTGTCAGGCACTGTCCCAAGCACTCTACAAAGGTTAGCTCATTTTATTCTCAGAATAAACTTCTGATGTAGGTGCTAATTGGTGGATTCTTTTCACAGATGAAATAGATGAGCCTATATAGGTTAAGCAAATTCAGAGCTCATATTCTTTTAAGAGACAAAGCTAAGACTGAAACCCAAGTCATCTGGCTTGAGAAGCCATATGTCTAACTATTGAGCAATGTTTGCTGTAATCAGTTTGCAGGATGGAGATCTCAGGGCTCTTGTAGTTGGATACTGACTCTTGGAGCAGCCATACTGATCATTTCATATATATATATATA